GCTCTAATGCCTCAGGATTGTTTGTGTCACATGCCTTCTCAATAAAGGCAGAGATCAAACCTAACTGGTCCTCCAAAGTGAAAGGTGCCTTTTGTATCTGTTAGAGAACAGAAACTACAGGAAGTTGGCTATATAGAGGATAAAAGATATGAGAAGCCATCAAAAAGACAGACAATCCAAACATTAGTGACACCAGGAAGCAACTACTACTCTACTCTAAGGCTAAAGAGACAAAGGGAAGAGGTACTGGCTGCTACAAGAGCCCAGAGCCAAGGTCACACAGTGGATGCTGGATTTATAATTGACCTGTTCAGGAGGAACTGGAGTCACAAAAGAAACCACTTTGGCTAGCAATTCACTAGAGGCAAAGTAAGCGAAGAAATGCCCTGTCTCTCTCTTCATTAAATATCCCATTAGTGCTTCCCTAGCCAAACCCAGAGCCTCACTGGAGGCTGGGAAAGGCAGCCTGCAGAGTCAGCTCTCCTACAATACATAAGAAAGCAAGGCAGGGCACAAAATGCAGCTGAGGGCAAACAAGCCTAAGACCGGCACATTTATCAATGAAGTTCACATCATCAAGACATCATATAAATTCACTCAATCTGGCTAATTTCTTCTATCAGTCACTGTAAAAATCGGCTCTATACTACAACTGTATATTAATAATTCTAGATCAACTTTCAGATTTTGAGATGAAAACTCCTAGAACATTAATATCCAGAAGCATAATTGTGCTAGGCAGGGCAAGACTACCCAAACTCTTTTTACAATCAGGTATGTAAAACTGTCCAAGTGGTGAGGGGAAGGGTGCTAAAGTCTGTCTAAAGGCTAATTTAGGTTAATTTAAAAGACGCAAGAAAAATAAAACATACCTTAGAGAAATAATGGTTGTGTCAGCCTAACATAACAAAACATATGGGATGCAGAAAAGGCAGTACTCAGAGAGAAACTACATTAAAAAAATCTCAAGTTAACAGCCTAAGTAGACAAAACTACAGGAACTTAAAGAGAAGAATAAACTAAGCCTAAACCTACCAGAAAAAAGGAAACAAAGATTATGCATAAATAAATAAAATTGAATACAGAAAAACAATAAAATCATTAAGATCAGAAGCTGTTTCTTTCCAAAGATCAAAACTGACAAACCTTTTGTTAGACTGAAAAGAGATGCAGATCAGCAAAATGAAAAATGACAGAGGCAACATTAAAACTGACTACATGGAAATAAAGAGAATTATGACAGGATATTATGAACAATTGTATAGCAGCAAACTCGATAACCTAGATTAAATGGAAAAATTATTTCAAGCACACAACCTACCCAAACTGACTCAAGAGGAAATACAAAGCCTCAATAGACCCATAACAAGAGAAAAAATAGAATGAGTGATCAAAAACCTCTCAACAGAAAAAAAGAGTCCTGGACCAGATGACTTCACTGGGGATTTCTACCAAACTTTTTTTTTTTTAAAAAAAGACATCATGGTATAGACTTTATTTTTCATTTCCAAACAGGACAAGGTTTCTTATAATAACAGAAGATTAAAAAAACAAACATACACACAAAAATAGAAATGACTGAACCCACTCCTGTGGCTTCCAGCCAACAAAAGACAGGCATATGAGCTGAACATTAACATTAGGTAGATACACACCCTGGAGAGAACAATCATGGGAGAATAGAGGGGCCATGTATGTACAGGGAGACAGCTGGGGGGCAGGAATGCATGGGCGGGAAGGACACGGGGAAGAGGTAACTATGGGGAGGAAGTGGGAGGGGAGCTGTTGCACTGTGGTAAATTATAGTCAATGTCATGAGACAAAGTATATGTGAACTATGGTATGGACAGTGAATTTGCTCTCTAAACTTTCACCCAAATCACAATTAAAAAAAATAAATAAATAAATAGAAATGATTAAACACCTACTATGAACTAAGCATTTTCAAAAATTTAGCAGGTAAATATTATTATAAATATGTAATATATAAGAAAGTAAGGCTCAAAGAAATAAAATCCATCCATTTAATATGTGTGAGTACTGGGATTTGAACCTAGCTCTCCCAGTTTTTTGTGCTTACATCACTATCTATTGTAGTGTTGTCTTCCAGTAACTGCTCCTTCTACTTTATGATCTTAGATGCTGCAAAGATATAAGCCTTAGGGATTTGAAGATATAAATATGAACATCATTTGACTACCAAACGTTTTGAGAAGAAGTAACATCAACAGTTTAAATGCAACCAAAAGACAGAGAAGGAAGGAATACTCCGTAATTCATTCTATGATGCAAAATAACCCTGATACACACACCAGACAAAGACACTACAAAAAAAAGAAAGCAATAGGCCAATATCTCTTATGAACAGTGATGCAAAAATCAACAAAAAATAGAGAACAGAATCCAATAATATATTAAAAGAGTCATATACTACATCCAAGTGGGATTTATTCCAGGAAGCAGGGATGGATTAACATTAGAAAATCAATTAACATAATACAGCACATCAATAGAACAAAGGAAAAGAACCATTTTATCATTTCTCTAGATGCAGTAAAAATATTTGATAAAACCGAACACCCTTTCTTGATGAAAACCCTAAAAAAGAGTGGAATAGAAGAGAAATTTCTTAATATGATTCAGAGCATATATGAACAATCAATAGCCAACATCATAATGAGAGCTTTCCCCTTAAAATTGGGGTTTGCTCTCACCGCTTCTACTCAATACTGTAAGTCCTAGTCAGAGCGATAAGACGAAAAAAGGAAGACAAGGTATCTAGGTTTGAAAACAAGTAGTGAAAATAACTCTTTTCATCAATATGATTCTATATATAGAAAATCCCAGAGTCCACAGGAAAACTTCTTAGAGCTAATACAGGAATTTAGCAAAGTTGCTGGGTATGAGGCCAACAAGCAAAAATCAGTTGGGTTTCTATACACCTTCTGAAAGGGAAATTAGGGTAACAATTACATTTACAATAGCATCTCACAGAATTAAATACCTAGGATTAAATAAATCTAACCTGGGACATGAAGGACTTAATCCTATTTTTACATAAATAACACATTTCTAGGCTTGTTTGCCAACCCCTCCCTTCCCCCAGGAGGGGGGAACATACAGCAACATGTTAAAAAGAAAAAAAAAAAAAAGATATACATATGTATGTCTGTATGTATACATACATGCATAGCAACACTTACAAAAATATCTCCTGGGGAAAGGGAGCAGTTGGCAAACAAAAAACAGAGGGGGCACATGTTATTTGCTTAAAAGTATGGCATACAATGAAAACCATAAAACATTGCTGAATGAGCTTATAGAAGACAAAAATAAATGGAAAGATGTCCCATGTTTATGGAATGGAAAACAATATTGTTAAATGTCAGTACTACCCAAAGTGATCTACAGACTTGATGCAATCCCAATCAAAATTCCAAGAGACTTCTTTACAGAAATAGAAAACCTGTCCTCAACTTTATATGGAAAAGGAAGAGGCCCTGAACAGGTGAAACTGTGCTGAAGGAGAACAGAGTAGGAGGACTCACATTTCCTGATTTTAAAATACATTACACAAGTACAGTAATCAAAATAGCCTGATACTAGTATAACAATAGACACATAAACCAATGGAATACAACTAAGTCCAGAAGTAAACCCAAATATCTCCGCTCAAGTGACTTTTCACAAAGGTGCTAAGTCTATTTGATGGAAAAAGAAGAGTCTCTCCAATGAATGGTGTTGGGACAACTGTACTCTGAAACATAATCCTTGCCTTACACCACACACAAAAACAAATTCAAAATGGATTTAGTACCTAAATACACAAACTAAAGCCATAAAATTTTTGAAAGAAGAAGCAAGGGCAATGCTGTCAGGCCTACCTTTTAACCATGGATTATCTAACACAGTAACTAAATCAGAATGCTGATACCAATTCTTTGGCATGGGAAGAATAATCATATTTTGATTAAGAACTGTTAAAAGCCAACCTAACACTGGAAACAAAAATCCACAAACTGTTTCACATACAAAAATATATATGTACCAACAATTGTGATTTGTACTGGCTCTAGCTGGAATTTTCTTAAAATTTAAAAAATTTCAGAAGACCAATCAAATCAAACTGCTGTCAAGTTGGATCCGACTCATAGCAGCCCCTCCTTGGTTTCCAAGGAAGTACCTCTACAGAAATAGATTGCCCAGTCTTCCTTCCAAGGAGTGGCTGGTGGGTTTGAACCACCAGCCTTCTGGTTAGCAGTCAAATGCCTTAGCCTTTAAAGCTCCCTGAAATTCCTGTTATTTTACTAGAAATATTATTAAGTTATTCAAAATTCAGAGAATTATAAAGCAAAACCTATTGTTCCTAAAATGTCTGATAATTTCATTTAGTGACAATATGTGTTACAGTTTTTTCTTCTTAAAAAAGAAAAAATTAGCACATTAATAAACCAAATCACTTGTCAAAATACCATTAATTTTACTTATATACATTTTTAAGTAATATTCTGCCTTGACTTTTATGATTTGATAGAGCTGCAAGAGACAACATAGAAGGTATGCTATAACTTAACTTCATTATTTTAATAATACCAATAAACTCTACCTTATGTATAAAAGACACTGACTGCATGACCTAACAGATCAGAAAGAGACCAAGAAAGATTAGCAGGAAGTGGCACCAGCACCATCAAGCTAATTCTGATGGAATAACTTGAACAATTCCTTAACAGCCATGGAGGCTTTTAGGCAAACATATTTAGGTCTCTAGAAATTAGTAATTCTGTACTATGATTTTAAAGGTAAAAAAGCTAATCTATTCTTTAAAAAGATTATGAATAGCCAGTACAGAATAAATTACAATAAAAAAGATTATAGCTGTTCTTTAAATAATACCACCATTCAGCCACTTAGCAAATGCAGAAAAATTACTACTTTATCCATTGCTTTCAGTTTTTAAAATTTTACCAATAAAAGTAATTTTTTCTGTAAACACTTACCATCCACTCAGATATAATAACATCCACTTTTTCTATTGGAAGATGAACTTCTTCAATCTTTCCTTTAATTAGTGTAACAGTATCTTCAAGTTTATTTAGTCTGAAAATTATCATAATGAGTTTAATGAATAAGTTAAACAGATTCTGAAAGCTAGTCAAACTACAAAATTTCTTGCCAAATGTTTGTACTATTTTGTAGAACTCAAAAGCATATTCAATGTTTAGGAATTAATTCTCTGGCCATTATATGTACTTTCTGGTCACTCCATGGGTGCCCAAGAATGTTTCTGGTTAAGACTGGCAATATACTGAAACAATATTTAAAACTTTGTCTGAAAAGAAACTTGAATTTTATTGAGTACACATATCTATGATGTACTCTACATCTGTAAATCTACATGCAGATAAATGAAACCTAATCTTTGCCTTACACCACACACAAAAATAAATTCAAAACGCATTAAGTACCTAAATGCTCTGGTAGCACAGTGGCTAAGTCACTTGACTGCTAACCAGAAGGCTGGTAGTTCAAACCCACCAGCCATTCCTTGGAAGGAAGATGGGCAATCTACTTCCCTAGTGATACTGCCTTGGAAACCCAAGGAGGGGTCGCTGTGAGTCGGGTCCGACTTGACGGCACATAACACCACCACCACCACCTAAATGCACAAACTAAAGCCATAACATTTTTGGAAGAATAAGCAGGGGCTTGCTGTCAGGCCTACCTTTCAACCATGGATTATCTAACATAGTAACTGAATCAGAATGTTGATATGAATTCTTTGGCATGGGAAGAATAATCATATTTTAATTAAGAACTGTTAAAAGCCAAGCCTAGCAGTGGAAAAAAAATCCATCTATCTATCTGTATCTATATATATCTATATCTATAAAGATACTGTCTTTAAAGAAAAATTTAAAAAGGAATGAGAGAAATAAGACAGATCAGATTTACACAAAACAAATTTATTAAAGGGAAGTACAGTGGAGAGAATTAGAAGTCAGAGAGCCCTTACACTGAAACCTAGCTCTTCTACCACTTACAAGCTATGCAATCAAATTATCAATAATCCTTCTGAGTCTGTGTTCATGTATGAAAGAGAATAATATCTGCTCTATTCATAGATTATTATGGGTATCAAATATTTGTGAAAGTTTAGTATACAGCCTCAAGCACTATATAATAATGGTGTTATCAAGAATAACACAATACTGCATAAAACTTGAAATTCTATGCTAACCATAAACCACATAACCTTGCCCAGTGCATTAATTATTTTTATAAGCTTGATTGTAATATTAGCAAATATTTTTCAATCACCTCCTCCATTTTTTTTAAAAAGAGATAATTTCAGAAAGCTAAGAGCAAGTTGCTGATTAAGTATTTAGCAAATTAAACACATCCTCAATTCTTAGAGGATGTATATCTGAATTATAAGAGATTTTTTTCTGGCAAACAAAGGAAGAATTTCTCCCTCCTCTAATTTCATGAGGTATTACTTACACAATTCAAAACTATTAAATGCATTCATTTTACAGATAACATTTGTTGAATTTTGAAAAACACAGATACCTAGGTGGCTACTACCAAAACCAACATATAAAACATTTTCATCTCCCTTAAAAGATTCATTAGTGCCCCTTTCAGAAAATTCCACCACTCTAGGCAATCATGATTTTCTTTCTTTCACTACAGATTAGATTCATATTTTGCAATGTTTCCTATAAATGAAATAATATTGAATGTACTCTTGTATCTACAGCCTTTGCTTACACTTCTTTTTGGATTCACACGTTTTTGTGTATAGCAGTGGCTCATTTCTTTTTATTGCTGAATAATTTTCCACTTTATAAATAAACAATTTTGTTTGTTCATTCATCTGTGGATGGAAATTTGGATTGCTTCCAAAATTAAAGTTTTATTTGTACACAAGCAGAACTGATCAGTTAAATCATGTTGTTGTTGTTGTGTGCCGTCGAGTCAGCCCTGACTCATAGTGACCCCTCCTTGGGTTTCTGAGGCAGTATCACTACGAAGTAGGATTGCCCAACCTTCCTTCTGAGGAGTAGCTGGTGGGTTTGAACTGCCAGCCTTCTGGTTAGCAGTCAAGTGCCTTAGCCACTACGCTACCAGAGCTCCCAGTTAAATCACAGTACATTTCAAATTTTTTACCAAACTGCTAGGTTGTTTCACAAAGTGGACGTGAAATTTTACATTCCCACCAGTATTATATGAGTACTCCTGTTGTTTAACATCCTTGCCAATAGTAAGTATTGTCGATCTTTTAAATTTTAACTATTTGATGAGATCTCACTGTTATGCTGAGAACTGAGAATTTTTTCACATGGGTATAGGCACCAACCAGAAGGCTGGCGGTTCAAACCCACCAGCTACTCCTCAGAAGGAAGATGGGGCAATCTACTTCCGTAGTGATACTGCCTCGGAAACCCAAGGAGGGGGCGCCATGAGTTGGGTCCAACTCGACGGCACATAACAACAACAACATAGGCCATATTATCAAATTGTATTTTGTGTAAATTATCTTTTCAAGTCTTTTGTTGATTTTTTAATAGGATCAGTTATATTCTTGAGCTGTCAGAGTTCTTTACCTATTCTGGATATAGACACTTTTGTCCGATGGCTTGCTTTTTCATTACTTTAAAAGTGTGTTTTGAAGAACGTAAATGTTTAATTTAGATAAAAATAGATCTTTTTTTTCTTTTACGGTTCATGCTTTTGGGGGCTAAGCTTATAAATCCTTGCCTACCCCAAATATTTCACCCTTTTTCTTCTAAAATCTTGGAGTTTTCATTTTGAGTATCATATTCATTTTTTCAATGATAACGGCATTGAAAAAACTATCACTAACCCATGGAATTATACGGGCATCTTTGTCAAAAAATCAATTAACTTATATATGTGAATCTATTTCTGGACTTTCTATTCTTCCTCAAGTTCTATACATGTATCTTTAAGTGAACACAACACTTTATTGATTATTACAGCTTTATAGTAAGTCAGGAAATCTGGTGGTGTGTCCCCTTCACACCTTTTTTGAATTCTTTTGGTTGTTTTGGGTCATATGCATTTCCACACAAATTTTACAATCAGTCCTTAGTAAGTTTCATACTTTTCAGTGTTCAGGTATTGTTGCTAGGTGCCACTGAGTCAGCTCCAATGCAGAGACCCTATGTACAACATAATAAAACACTGCCCAGTCAGGCGCCATCCTCACAATACTTGCTATTCTTGAGCCCATCGTTGCAGCCACTGTGTCCATCTATCTTCTCGAGGGCCTTCCTCTTTTTTGCTAACCTTCTACTTTAATAAGCATGATCTTCTTCTCCAGAGAATGGTCTCTTCTAACAACATCACCGAAGTGGGTGAGATGAAGTATGACCATTCTTGCTTCCAAGGAGCATTCCTGGATTCCAGGTGCATTTCTTCCAGGACAGATGCAACAAAAAGGACACAGGGCCAACATCTTCTGACCTCCTCTAACTTCACAAGACCAGAAAGAAAAAAAAAACCTCACTGACTCATGGCGACCCTCCTTGGGTTTCCAAGGTGGTATCTCCACGGAAATAGACTGCCCAGTCTTCCTTCTGAGGAGTGGCTGGTAGGTTTGAACTGCCAGCCTTCTGGTTGGCAGTCACATGCCTTAGCCACTATACCACCAGAGCTCCCATAACTTCACAAGAGGGAGAAAGAATCACCATCAGCAGCCCAAAGCTTATTCCTGAGGCTAGACATGCCACCACCCTCCAGCCTTTTTACCAACTCTGACACCAGCCATCCCACCCATTGCACTCACTACTCTGCTGGGTTCAATAATTCATTTCAATGGCCACACAGAACTCACAGACAATATTCACAATTATGGGGTTTATTAGGGAAGTAACAGGCTACAACTCAGGTTCACACAAGCTCTCAGGATACGATTCTTCAATCAGGACTGTCTCCCCTCTGCTATGCCCTCAGGCACATCTCCCTGGCCCTTGGCCTCTTGGCTTGGCCTCTGCCCTGCTCAGGCAAGTGTTACAAAGCTCTTTTAGCTCTGCCAATAGGTACACCTATGTGTACCTGATTGTGCCAGCAAGGCTCCTGCCCCAGAGGCATTCAGCTTTCTTACTCCAAGGGGCGGCAAGCCTGCTGCTCTGTGCCTTTGGGCTCCTAAGCCAGTCTCTGCCAAGAAGGTCCAGCACAGGGATCTCAGGTCCAAGGACACACTCCACTCCAACTCTAGCTCTTCTCTTGATGACAGTGAGATTCCCTCTGCTGTTCTAGGAGGGCTCATTTTAAGTCCAGCAGCATAGCAAAACTAACCAATTTTCACATTAGAGTTCCATACACCTTATTTGCATGGTCCCACCCAGTAATCTGGTGGGAATCGCAAAGACCACAGCTAGAAAAGCCATACTAAGTAATTCATTGCACCATAATAGATTTGTTTCTTCTTCTGGCAGTCTACGTTATTTACGGTATTCTTCACTAACACCTAATTCAAAGGCATCAACTCTTCTTTGGTTCCTTATTTGTTGTCCAGCTCTCACATGCATATGAGGCAAATGAAAATACCATGGCGTGGGTTGGCGCACCTTAGTCTTCAAAGTGTCATCTTTGCTTCTTAACACTTTAAAGAGATCTTTTGCGGCAGACTTACCCATCACAAAACAATGTCTGATTTCTTGACTGCTGCTTCTATGGGTGTTGATTATGGATCCAAGTAAAATGAAGTTTCTGACAACTTCCAATCTTTTCTCCATTTATCATGATGTTGCTTATTGGTCTAGCTGTGAGGAATTTTGTTTTTTTTTTATGTTGACATGTAATCCGTACTGAAGATTGCAGTCTTTGATCTTCATCAGTAAGTACTTCAAATCTTCTTCACTTCAGCAAGTGCTAAAAAGGCAAGGAGGCTACATCTTCTGACCTCTAACTGCACAAGAGGAAAACAGAATCACTATCAGTAGCCAAGGTCCATTACTGTGAGGCCAGACATGCTACCTCCCTCCAGCCCTTTCACCAAC